ACAAATCAAGAAATGCCGATTGATCAACCAAGTGATTTTCCGAGAGACGCATTGCGATTGCACCATGCCAATCTTCCTGCTCCAACTCATTTCTCTCCTGTTCCTGATACTCCCGATTATCAAATCTGTGTTTCTCAAGTATCTCACTTTCACCACCAGCTAACCAAGTGTTGATTGACAGGTTTATCGACTTGCATGCATCCACACAAGTCACTCCAGGCAGCTCCAAGTCAGCAACTCTGAGGCATCTCTGTGAATTACTTGATCTGATTTGCATTTTCCTGCTTCCGAACCCCAAAACCTTTGTTGAACACCCAAATAAGCATTCACCCGCTGTCACCACCAGTCACCCGCTGTTTTTTGTAGAAGTTCCGCCTGGATGAGCTCCGCCTCTTCACAGTCCAGGCCGCGTTGCTTTAACGATTCGTCGGCCAAATGCGGCTGGGGCCAACGATAGCTGGGCTCTAAGACCTTGGCGCTCGACGTGGTTCTGGACGCTCGACGTTCTTTTTCTTTTTTTCTCGATTGATTTCGATGCGATGCTCACGACCCCGTGAAAAGACCACCGGCGGCTAGGGAGCCGCGGCCAAGGTTGCAAACCGATCATTCGGAAGGGTGGTGTGGTGGGGTTGCATCATTTGGAGCGAGTCTGCTTTACCTGTTCAAGATGTGGGTTGGCTCAAGCACCCGCAACTCATGGAATATGCACCAGCTATGATGTGGGCAGTCTTCAGAGCTTCCAACCTGCAGTTGACTCCTTGGGCCTGCATTGGTCACGAGACTATTTCAGCTGAAGGAGACCTGGATCTCTGGATCTTGGCTGCACTCACTTCCACTGTACATGCTACAACTGTAGTTGTAGTAGTCGCTGCTAGCGCACCACTGTTAGAACACAAGGACGCCGACCAGGTCTGAGGTCATAGCTCCATGCATTTCGCCAGCATCCCGCTCAGCCTGATGCGGTCAGAAGCGGACCGCATAAGAGAACGCGCACCGACCCGAGCTGTGAGGCAACTGTGCAGTAACTCCGATCAAAAACGTGTTCTTCACGACTAAGGGAAAGGATGATGGACACTGGTCATGAGGATCCAAATATGTTGTTGAGAACGCCCCGTCCAGCCGATCCAAGGGCAACTTGCTTCGTCTCCACATGCAACACCGGGGAGAACCCTCTGCTGGACAAATGAGCAGGTCCTCACCTTTCTGCTTTTCAGGAACATCTCCCAAGCCAATGACAGTTTCCGCCGTTGCCGTTACTTTTGCACACAAATGCTTGCAAATTGGGGCATTGGCGAGCCACCGTGGACAAAGAGTCAACGTACGCAGCAACAATACGGCTGAGCAACCCTGTACCAATGCCTGTTCCGATTTCCCAAAGATCCTCATGGAAGACAATCACCGGAAATCGTCTGTCTCTTGTTGCCAAACCATCCGGCGGCCCCAAGTTAAACTTAGGATTATGACAGTCCTTCCCCTTCCTTCCATTCTCCGAAAGCGCCATCGCCCGAAACCCGAAAGCACCCAGGATTTACCCCCAGAGTCGACCAGCCGAGAAAGAAAGACGCCTGGATCATCTTCCCGCAAGCACCCTCCAGAAGGTGAGATACAATGAGCTCAGGCAGCTGCGTGAGATATCCAATTCTCCTAAGTGAATGGCGTTGCCTGTGCATGCGGCTGACACCCTCCAACACTCAAGATGTGTTGAGGGGGAGACGAAAAACACTACAGGACATGCCATGCACGAGCCTCAAACGGTTGGTGTCTGTCTCCACTTTGTGCTGCCTCTCACCCGCAACCAGGCTCTCACAGCTCAACTCGACAGTGACTCTGCCAAGTTGCAGGTTGGCCTCCAAGTTTGGGATCATATCCTTCACGTCTTGTAGGAGGACTTCCTGCCTCTGCTCTGAATCTCGAGTATCGAAAGTAGTGCATGTTCATTCTTGGGCAAAAGGACTCGAAAAGCCACAGAACTCAGGACACCCAAAGAATATGCAAGGACCCGGGAGCTCCCTCATCCATTAATCGCCTCCAGTGTGACCAGTTACTACATGTCACCACCACAAAGAACAAAGGATGCCACCGGCATCTGCGATCTCCGCCAGTGAATCCACACCTTTCAACAGGGCCTGGGGACCCGCGCGCCAGAACAAATCCCTCACTGCAGGGTTCAGCTAGAGTCTAGAGTCAGTCAATGTCTGATCCTTCAAACGAAACGATGACGGATCAGGGACTCCCCGGCCCCCGCCTGTCTGAAGCATCTGCCGAAAGTGGGTTCTGTAGAAGGCTCTGGCAGATCCGCTCCACCACCACAATACGACCTCTCTTTTGGGAAACGCTGCGTCGAATGAGTCCAAGAAACGCCGATAGAAGCTCAGAGCAAAAAGGGTTGATGATGGATGCAGGGAATGGTAGCCTGGCGGGGACTGTTGGGCTCAGGTTTTGGACGACAAAAGGCAAAAAGGATCAACATGGCTTTCCTGTCCTAGTTGTTGGCCCAAAGAACCCGCTATCAACACTGTTCAACACCTGGCGGAGTTCGACAAGCTCACCTAGAAGAGAGACCTCTGGGCAGCTCCCCATGAGGCTGGGCGCCAAGTTCGCCACCAGCTTCTCCACACGTGAGCCCAGGATGCCCTCCTGAGACCAACCCTGGGAATATTGATAACTATTGATATGTCTTACCAGAAATGTGATGAGCATACTATGAAACATGTAATCTGATGGAATTTCTTCGGGCCGTACATTTGGTAGACACGCACAACTGTAAAGTCACTGTGATTGATACAGGTCATTGGGGTGGATGGTTTTGGTTGAGGTGGGTCTTGTTGGTTGGGGTGATGGGTTTTGGTGGTTTTGGTGGTTGGGGAGATGGATGTTCGCTGGTTAGGGAAGCAAAGTTTTGGTGGCTATAGTTACAGTTACAGTGCTTTGTGTGGTGGTTTTAGTGATTGGAGTGCTGTATTTTGCTGGTTTGGGGTGGTGGGTTTAGTTTTGGGTGGTTCGGATGGGGCCCAAAGGCTTTTGAACAGGCCAACGTATGCTTCCGAAAAACGAGGGTGGCCAATGCTTGTCCATGTGACCTCACTCATAGCACCAAATGCGCTTGCAGTTTTACGCGCCACACTCCTCAGGAGTTCGAGCACTTACGGCTCTTTGGGGCCTTCACTGCCTCCGCCCCGCCTGCAACGTCTGGTTTTCGACATGCTGCCGGACATCCTCAAAGTAGTCTCGGTACAGGTCGTGGCCCAAACATCGGAGGTCCTCGCCAGCCACCTGCGAAAACCCGGTGAAAGCCTCCCACCAACGGTGGCACCCTAGGAGTGTGAGAAGCATAGCTGTCCGAGCTTCTTTTTCAAAAAGGGATTAACGTTTCACTAACTGCGTTGGACATCTAGCATGGCTAAGAACTGTGCTCTGCAAGCGCAGTATCCAAGAACTGCTGCAGCTTCACGGCGGCACTTTGGCTCCCACATGCTCCAAACCAAACTCAGAAGGCTTTTCACCGATCTTCGACAAACATCCGTCGACCTGCCTCCACCTTCAACTCTGCATGGTATTCGGGAACCGACCAGGTCTGGGATCCGGCAGCGTTTGTCACCCGAAGGACCCGCGAGTATGCCAACTTTTGCAAGGTCTGGCCCCAACTGTCACGAGTGAACTAGTTAGTCAAGAGATCTGGCAAAATGGCTACCAAGCTCCACCGCACTGTTTTGGATCTACATCGACCTACACTCTGAACTCCTTGAAGCTCAGAATATCTCAGACTCTGAGCATGGCGGGCCGGTAAGGGGCGAAGTCCGGAATCTCGAAGTCTTTTCAGTCTTCGAACTTTTCACTTTAAACATTAAACAATCATTTATATAAATGTGGTATAAACAAAGCCGCAAGCAACCACCAGCTTGAATGGAACCTGTTATGCCTCCTCAGATCTTTGCATGAGCAACCGCCCACTGCGTCCACGGCGCTGCAAGGAACAGCCGCAAATCTGCACAAGAGTGCCGGTGGGTCTGGCAACATGACCTGGGGCACGGCTCAGAGCGAGCGTCCAGTAAACAAAAACGAAGAAGCTGCGTCTATGCCAGATTCCATCTCATCGAGCTCGTGATTCTGTGGCACTTGTGGCAGTCCATCTCTATGATTCTCTATGATTGTCCAAGATGTAAAAAAATGCCCCAAACTCGATGGGGGCAGCGGACCAAAGATGTTGGCTCACGCATGCTCACGTGTGCCTTTTTTCGCTTTGAATCGAGGTCGTGCCCAGTCTGGTGCGGTCTGATCCCGGTCGGACTCGTCTCTGACACTGAAGGGGCCTGTGGTCAAGAAGCGAAATACTGGTGGGAAGTGTTACTCTAGTGGGTAGAGCTAAGTATAGCTAAGTACGCACACACACACTCATATATATATAATATATATATATAATATGTTTATGCATAGAAACGGAGCTCTATGCAGTTGTAACGAAAACATCTGTTCAAGAACGATCAAACACGTAGTAGCCTCTTGGAACCACCACTGGAGCTCAAAAATCGGCACCGTAGTGATACACCCGACCTTAAAAGAGGCTTCCGGAGTATCAAAATATAGTAAAGCCTCTGCACCTCTGCGGCCTTGCCCGAGCCTAGGGTTCAGACCGCTGCCGTTGGCAGACGGTCGCCTTCCTCTCCTCATATATTTTGAAGTGGAGACTCAAAAAAACATGCCCGTGGGGGCCGAGTGAGCAAGAAAGCAGGTCCGAGACCAATGCATACAATACATCTAAAATCTATACATCACATCATCAAATATCACCTTCACAAGCCCCGGAGTGGGCTTCGCTCCCTCGGCTCGCTGGGCCATCTGCACATCCTGAGTTCGCCTTTACGAGAAGAAAAAGTGGGTGGTGGTCTTCCAGAAAATCATTGGACATCATTGAACATCTAGAAATCATCTCTGATTTCATTTACCAATCATGTGACTTGAATGGTTCATAAATTTCATAATGATTCTACAATATTCTACATCATGCCATCCCAAAAAGCTCTATCTTCGGCTTCTCTTGAGCACCACAAAGCAGGATCTCTTTGCGGTGGGAACTCTGCAGCATCGGGAACTGCCAGGTCCGATCTAAAGTTCGGCCCCGCAAAGGGCGGAAGTGGTCCCTTTCAGGACGCCCTTCCAAGGCCAAGCTGTGCTTGGTCAAGAACACTCTTCGACACGACACTGGTGGACTTGGTTTCAATAGCGTGTTTTTGCAAGAGAACCTGGAGAGCAAAGCAAGCCCAGTGATTTCTTAGCGTGAGATAGCTTGAGGATCCCGTTCCGCTCTACCAATCCCAACATTGCATGCCCCTAGCCCTAGAATTCGTAATTTCAGGTTGATGCACGTCCAACTTCCTCTATCAGCTCCTGGCTGTGCAACATAAGCGTCATCCACAACCGTCATCCACTACGTCATCCCTCTGGTGGGCACTCGGATTGAACCAAGCCACATCTTTCTCACAGGAAATACAATACAATAGTGTGCCACAAGGACATGCAACTCGAAACGTGGTCCAATTCCGATACTGATGATCATTCCAGGCAGTGTAGTGTATATTATATATAGATCAAAGAAACTGTAAACAAGTTCCTGACCAACCCCTCCTTTGGCCAAGAGCCAATGAAGGGTCACATGGAAGATCAGGTGAGGTTCCACGACCGACGGTCATGGCCCATGTTTCCAAGAGCGTGAAGATCCTCCAAGGCTATCGGGGGTCCGATCATTCGTACCAACAAATTCACACAATCGACGCGCTTTAGGATTCTCATCCCTTTGGAAGGGTCAATGCTTGGTCAGCATTAGCGTTCCACAGTGCGTGAACTCCCCGGGTGCTTAGAGACCTTTGGATCAATCTCCACGTGCTTAGCCTCCTGCACGAGAGGCACATGCAAGTAGGGAAAAGTCGTTGATCCCAACACTGGACCAATCTGTCAGCATATATAACCACAAATTGACACATCGTAGTTGCTTGATGTCACTTGCATTTGCCCAGTCAAGACCTGAAGTGCTCCTGAGGGGCATTGATGGTTATTCCCTTCTGGAAGCTATGTGTTTTTGGGCACTCAAGTCTTGACTCAACATCAAAGAAGCCCGCATCGCTTGTGTCGCGACCGCCGGCTCTTTCAGCTGAGTCAGATGCTTCAGGCTTCAACGGCGAGCTGTTCGGTCCGCTTCGGTTGCCTAGAGATGTTCGGCTCTTGCATTGGGTTCTCCCCCGGTTCGGCTCCGATCGCTTCTCAAGTTGATCACAAACAGGCAGGCAGGCTGTGGGAACAGTAGCATGGCGGCTCCATGGGGTATGGCTATTTGTCTGGAAGGTGGGAACCATGTGGGTCTGCCTGCACCGTCGGAACGCCGACCAAAGCAGCGAATGTCAGGTCCAAGGCCAATCGTGGGAACTGGTCCTAGGTGGTCGAACCCCCCATGTCAAGCCGCAAAGCCTGCGGCAAGTCAGCAAGTTGCCACACTAGCTCACAATTGATTGCGGCACAAACCGTAAGGTGGCCATTCCTCAAGCTATGAGCGCACCCATGTGCAGGTGGCAAATTGGGTCTCCAGTAGGGTCCTCACACTCTGGGTTCTCCACCCCGCTCGCGTCGCATCAGGCCTGTACAACCAACAGCCACCTCTCTGGATTGCGGATGGGCTCTTGAGACAACCTGCACAGGCCGAAGCTATCGAAGCGGCCACAGCTGCAAACACCTTACTGTATATATCTTCACTCACAAAGGTGCAAAGCCGTGGACAAGGGTCATGAAAAGAACCAGGCACTTTAGCCTGTAGTACGACAATGTGAGAGTGCAACCCAGATCTTAAGACTTTCTAGTTTGCGTGAGGTATGCCCTGCTTCTCCAACTGTGGCTCAAACTGTTCATCAAACCGTGGCGTTCCAGCCTAACCAATCACCTTGCATTGATTTCTGATACTCAAAAGGAAAGCAGTTTACTCAAAAACACCCCCGTTTTTGAGGAATTATGGACATGTTGTTGAACATATATACACCGGAACTGGATGCCTTTTCATTTTCAACCCAAGTGGGGCATCTTCCAGCTGCCGCCCCTCCAGAGTTGGACCGGGACACAGCTGCCACCCTTTCCGACCCCGTCTCAACCCATCCCAACGCCTTCAGCAACAGTATGCCACATGATGGCCATACTGCGGGACTCTGTGCCCGCAGCCCTTTTTCCTGGGAGGAAACAGGCCGCACTACCTCTGCTCCCTAGTAGCTTCTTGTTACTACTAGTAAGGCACTTGTTACTACTAGCGATGCACTTGTTCCTAGTAGCTTCTTGTTACTACTAGTAAGGCACTTGTTACTAGTAGC